CACCACTCAGTCTGTCGCTTCCTAGACTTTCGGAAAATTCAGGGAAATTGAAATCTTTACTTTCTTTTAGTTTATAAAATGTTTTCCAGGTGTCTCCAATCATTAAGACAGCATTAAGAGAACGCATTGGGCAGAGACCCTAAAAAATAATATTAACTGTCTGTTATCTGTGTATTGAATGCTGTCTTCTCAAACGTATTCTTTCAACTATCAAAAGTTGATTAGCGTAAGTTTCCCCTTCATGATATTTGTCATGTTTCTCAAAGGTCAGCTTTCTTTCTCCCACATCGTCTCGTTGTTTTTATAAAGTCGACGGTGAAAAGAAGAAACAAAACCTGCTCGTTAAAAACGACACTCTTTCCTAGGGTAACCAAGCCGACCACTAATCATATAATTCTCCTACATGGGCATATTTTTTGACGAAAATGTGATAGTTACACAAGGTAACAAATCCCACTATTTTGTTGTAATAAATTATTATCACCTCTAGATAAAATTGGACCATCAATCCAGAAACATCCAATAGATCACCATAAATGTAACGAATGAGAGAAACAGATTATCATATTAAAAACATTATTCAGCTTATCTCGTCCAACACTTTTGGAAACTTCAAATGTTTTCCAATCGTCTTCAATCATAGAGCGACACTGCGAGAACTATGTATAGCTTTGCTGAGAAAATCTGTACAATTTTACACAATCGTCCTTGAATTTCAAAAATATCAGCACAACTTCTTGACATGAACCTGCATGTCAAGAAAATCTCCAGTGGCCCTACTGTTTTTCCACTTTCCGTCCATTTCTAAAGCTGTGCTTTAGGCTTAAGTCTGAACAATATCACAGAAGCTGTCTGAATTATAAATTCACCAACACAATATCTGCACACAAACCTTAGAAAAACAAACACTTGGCTTGTTGAGGTTTTTTTCGGTGGGTGGGTTGGGGGTAGGTCAAATTCCCAAACAGAACACTGTCATCTTGTCGTTTTTGGATTCCATAAACACCAGCGGAAGAACCTGGTGCTGAGTCAGCGTTTTCTGCTTTCATCTATAGGCCTATTACTGCTTCACCTGCATAACCTCGAAAACCAAACACATCAGCACAAGAGCCACTGAATCCAATCACAAACTGAGCAACATGTCTTTCTGTTCGTGTTTTTTCCTTCCCAGCATTTCGTCGGAGAGTCCTATCTCTTCAGCATGTCCTCCAAAAGCACAGCGTTTCTCCTCCTCCTACTTCCCCATGCCCTTCCTTCCCCTTCTCCTAACATCCTCCGAGTCCTCCTTAATCCCAGCTGGACAATAAGTTTCTCCTCCTACACCACATTGCTGGAATCTGCCTCCATATTGAATACGTCATCCTCTCTGTCACCGTTTGACCTGCACAGAAAACAGAGCCAAACTCAAGCATCCACACAACATCCAAAGAACATAACATTTGTTAAAATTACAGGGTTTCAACAAATTAAATTTCAAAAGTCAAATATCTGTTTACAAACACAATGCATTCCCTTTTAGTACTTCAAGGAAACTAGACTAAAATTTCTCTTCCGTGTGAGCAGAATAAATAAATAATGGAGACCTTTCACTAGGAACTGGCTAAAATAAACAACCACAAAGATCACTGCATCTCCCGCTTTCTTTTTCTGAGGACACCTGATCTATGAATTGATCAATTTCTAAAGAATAGATTAGTTTCGATTTTTTTTTCAAATTCCAGATCTGCTTCTATGTAGTTACTATTTTTAGTCATACGAAGTTAGCAAGATCTCACCTTAAGCCAGGGTTAACTGAACTTCAGTGGAACCGTGAAAGAGAGGTTCTTATCCAATCCTTGTTCACCTTTCTGCGAGTTATCGACTGGTGCTTCTGAACCCTTTCACTTTGCCTCACACAAGGTTTTAACACTTTTTAACCCCAGAAAAAGAACATCTTTACTCTATATCTACAGCATTTTACCTTGATTAATTTAAATGGTATCCCAACACAACTTCATTCATATCTTAGACCCTAAAGACAAACTCCGATGAGACATCTTACCAATGTCACAAAACGACTTTTTGTTACTATATTATATGTTGTTGTTTTTTTAGTTCGTCTGTACAGCTATTCTATCCAGACTCGAGTCTTACCCGTTTCCATCAAAACCGCACATTTTCCAAAGTTCTTGTGAGATAAAATCCTTTAGGTCTCCATATATAATGTCTTCTACAGATACATCAGCAATGGGGACATCCATATGGAGATTCTGGACAGTTTCAACATGACGATCATCTGGAACCTCTTTCTGCTGGCCCGCATCTGTACATGGACAACAAATAAATAAATGAATAAATAAATACACATAGAAGGAAAGAGAGAAAGAACGAAAGAAAGAAAGAACGAAATTAAGAAAGAACGAAAGAAAGAAAGAACGAAATTAAGAAAGAACGAAAGAAAGAAAAAACAAAAGAAAGAAAGAAAGAAAGAAAGAAAAAACGAAAGAAAGAAAGAAAGAAAGATAAAAAAAATTATAACACGATAACAAACAGGGATATGTCAGTAGAGTTTGGTGGATGTGATGCCAGTGGGACACAGGAAAAAACAAGCTCATGAACTTATAAAGCGAACAAGGGATATTTTCTTCTTTAAAGGGAAAAGAAAAGATTTCAACTCTCACGATCATCATGGCAGCGTCAGGTAGATATTTTAAACATCGGTGTATAGTACACCAGGTCAGTGACAATAAAAATATTAATTAATTTAATGTTTGGGAAAACGAGCTTCCTGTGTATTATAACATTAAAAAAGAGAGAAAAAAGATATAAACAGGATGTCATGTCATTGGTCTGCTGATACCACACTGAAAACATAACAGCGTGTTTGCGTGGCTGCGCATTGGTCTGCCGAGAGTGAGTTTGTTTATGGTGAACTAGCGTGACAAATGATGCCTGAACAAATTGTATGCTAAAATCAGCCAACAAAACTTTCCAATCTCAAAGAGCAGAAAACCTTGTAAAATTATTTCAATAAAATAAAAACTTTGCAATTTGTGTAGTAGAAGTCTTCTACTCAATATGTATCTTTTAATCCCAATGGCAGAGAAGGAGAGAGAGAGAGAGAGAGAGAGAGAGAGAGAGAGAGAGAGAGAGAGAGAGAGAGAGAGAGAGAGAGAGAGAGAGAGAGAGGGGGGGGATGGAGGGAGGGAGAAAGAGAGAGAGAAATAGAGAGAGAAAGAATGAGAGAAAGAGAGAGAGGAGAGAGAGAGAAAGAGAGAGAGAAAGAGAGAGAGAGAGAGAGAGAGAGAGAGAGAGAGAGAGAGAGAGA